CACATCTCACATCTCTTACATATTTCTATCTTAAATAGTAGCTACAATCTATGTGATTATCACAAAAATCTTCCTGAGATGAACCAAAGCATTATCTAACATCTTGCTATCTATTTTGAAAAAAAAAAGTTTGTCTATTCTATTTGTAACATTGACAAAAATTATTTTATTGTAGCTAAGCCTTAAATTTTTAAATTTTTAATGAGTTCATAATGTTTTTGAACAGAACTCACCATTCCCCATAAATTAAACACATAATAATTGAAAGCAATTTTTATAGTAATGATTGATTTACTAATCATAAAACTGAGAAGTTTTAGAGGAACTTAATTGATGTCAATGGAGACAATGTTGTTTACTCCTTAGTATCTTGCTCAAGTGAAGTCAAGGCGTACTATTATTCAATGAAACAAAATTTTCATTAAAAGAATTTCCCTTTTTCTATTATTAAAAGCAAAGAGCATTTTTTTTAACAGTACTTATAAAAACAAGGACTCTGTTCCTGCATATTCACTTTAAGGCACTAGATAGAAGTTTTACAAGTCTTCCCCAAATCTATCTTTATTAACTACATGAAAGAGGAGATATCCAATTTAAAACATCAAAAAGTTTAGTTCTATAAATATAGAAGACATTTTCTTTTAAAACTTGAAAGATTTTCTGTGGTGCATTAACATTTAACTCTCTTTCCTAAGTTTTAAATACAGTGTTTTAATATCTTAAAACAACTGTTGCTATTTTCACTGTACAAATTATCTTTCCCACCTTCCTTCTTGGCAAAGTTCAACATTTGCTTCTATTCTTAATTATCTTGTACTTGTGCAATGCTACAATACCTTCATATTAAGCCACTTCTATGAACATGCCATATTCCTTCAAGCATCCCTCCAGCCTGGAAAAAAACGTATCATCACAGAAAGTGCTAGGCTATACTATGCATTGACAATCATGAGGCAGTAGGGGGAGCAACCAGAAAAGCACCCAGAAAACCAATTTCATTTATAAGCAACAGAAACAAGTTTCCGGTAATACCAGGCTTTCAAACTGCCCCTAAAATTAGAGTAGAAACAATATACATTTTGTGTGTGTGTGTGTGTGTGTGTGTGTGTGTGTGTGTGTGTGTGTGTGTGGTGTTACGTTTTAGGGCAAATTCAAAATGATTTTGTTTTGTCCTTCAACCATCACTGCACTTACAAAGGCCTGGTGAAAGGTGCAAAAGGACTAAGTTATAGGGTTTCAGGACACATAGTCTTTGAAAGACTTAGGTCTGGACTTCTGTCCTCCCCTGCCTAGCCATTCCACTCTCACCCTCATATACTCAGTATGACAGAAAAGTGAAAACACAATGAAACTACCCTGCAGTAAAAAGTATTTTACTAAAAATATACTTAGCTTTACAAGACTTATACACAAAGATGGAAAAATGCCCACCAACCTACTTGATACTGTACATATTCTAAAGATTAATAAGGGCTGTTTTTTCAGTTTTACAGTAAAAAAGTTAAAAATGTATCTAGTTTTTCTGTCTGGAATTCTAAATTTAAGAAAATACTAAATTTCAAAATGTTCTATCAGTTATGTAAGTTAGGTAAGGATAGTTATCTAACAATTAAAATAATTAATGAAAATAGAAATGTCTATCATAAATTATATCTGACTAGTAAAAAAACAACCACCCCCCCAAAAGCCCATTTTAGCCAAAGAGGCAATCAATAAAGTTTCAGCTAAACCCCAAGTAATAAAGGTACAGTGTCTACTCTTATCAATGTTATAGCTAGTCTTTTTATACATTTTTTTGAACTCTCACATTAACCTTATATCCATTCAAGGAAACTGAAGCTAAAGAAGTTTACACCATTTTTTAAATGTAACTTTGCTAGGGAAAAATGGAACAAAACCATGACTGAACTACCAAGTCTGCCTGTCTCCAAAGCTTTAAAACTCCTCTAAAACTACTCTCATTTGTAGCAATGAGGTTCCAAAGGAAATCTAAACAAGTCTGAGGCAGATTAAGGTGATTATGAGGGTAAATACTATAGATTTAATCACTCAAATTAAATGCCACCTGAAATCTCCTATCTTAGTTGGTACAAACATCCTACATGTGTTTTGGCTAATTCTGTCGAGTCCAAGATCTCAATAATTTTTCCTGCCTCTTTACCATCAGCAAGCACTAGGTACAGTAAAATACCAACATAGAAACTACAACTCATTGTTTCTAACATCATTTTTAAACTACTGTTTAAGATTCCCTTTTTAATATTTTTTAAAAATTTATGTTATTTGTTAATTCTAGTTAAATGGGTTTGAGGAAGCAATTTCCTTCTCTTCACACCCAAACTCATTTCAAAACAATAAATATTTTCTACTATCACTTAAAAATCTAGATTTCTTACTAATTTCTTATTAGGCTTTTTAATGTTAGGAATACATTTTAAAAACACCAAGAAAAATGAGAATAGAAAAGTGTACTACTTTTTCAAAGGCAAAAACAGAATAAATTAAAAACACTGACAGAATAAGTAGCAATAAGACTAATGACCAAAAAACGTTTCAGATTTATTCATTCATACTAAAGAGATGTCAAGCAACTGAGCAAACACATGAATCAAACTGTGTGTATTCCTAGTCCAGACAGAAGGCAGAGTGCTACTCATAGAGACCTTCAGATCAGCTGTTTCAACTCAGTTTATAGCTCTTCCTTTATGCCTTTGTTATCAAGCAGAAGGGTAACTTTACATCCTTCATCAAGAGCTTTTCTTCTTTCTAGGCTAATCCTTCTTCATCTATAAAAGGGCAGGTGAGTATAACACTGATTTAAAAATAAATTAATTAAAAAAGAAATGAATGGCCTAGACGTTAAGTTTTAGCAGCAGCTCCAACTATGCTAAGCTTAATTTTCAAAAGTGTCATGTCAATAATCTTTCAACCACAAGAAAGAAACACAACTAGAATGACTGAATTTTGAGAAAGTAGTTCTCATTCTACCTATTTCACTTCAACCAAATAAGCCTATTTTCTCTACTAACCACGTGAATTAACTCAAATTTTAATTTGGAAGCCTACACATTGAAGATTTAAAAGAAAAAAAAATACCCCTCACTTTATTTGGTGCCTGTGAAAGAAAGATGTCATTCTGAGGAATTATTGTGAGCTAAAATAATTTTATTTTAAAATATAGGTAAACTATTCACAGTTGAAGCCATTTAACAATACACTGTTAGAACAAATATCAATTTTCAAATTAAACATATGGACTTGGGGAAGTAACTGTTGCGCTGAGCTGCATTTTGCTGAAAAAGTATTGTCAAATCATCTTGGAAACGTAAATAAATGTGTGTATTTTATTAAATGCCTTCAGATTCTGCTCTGCGTTTTTACTACAAAGGATCAACCAGGCAACTGAGAACTCAGGCCCAATGCAAAACAGTTCCCTTTAGTATTTAGGACACTGGAGATAGTAGCATATGTCTGCTGCGATTATGAATCAAATTATGAATAAATGACATATTTTATAAAAATAAAAATAGGAGGGCGAGGAATTTAGCTCAGTGGTTTCACCACCTGCCTTGCAAGCACAAGGGCCTGAGTTCAACCCCCGGTACCCAAAAAAAGTACTCAAATGAGAATAGGACCTAATGCCACTGATTGCAGAGAGGAAGAGTCCCAGCAAGAAGGAACCGTCAGAGGAACCATGCTAAATTTAGAAATAAATGACCAAATGACAAAAAGAAATAATACAAAACAAACCCCAGGAATCTGATCATCAGTAGGCAGCTGGGTAGGTCAATGTGGGTTAGTTACCTGCAGGCAGGGTGTAAGGGGAACTCCTTTTATTTGAAGCCAACTTTTCATTTAAAGAACAATGCTATCTATATAAGCAATGATAACAGAAATGATATGCAAGTGGCTCAATGCTATGCCTTTTTTTTTTGTAAAAACTGCAGGAGAAAAAAAATAAGTGAGGTAAAAATTATAGCAAGCATTACAAAAAGGTATTACTCATTGAAAGACATGTACACATAAACAGTAAAATGGCATAACCTTGTTGACCTTGCAAAGAGGTGGCCAAGATATATAAATATCTTTTAGAGGCAACTATTACTGTCATACAATATGACCAGTCCTTACTAGCTGAATCCCTCTGCCATCTGCATCCAACACGGTCATGCCTCCTTTACTGTCCCCTCAGCTGGTCATTCATTAAAAACATACAAAACAGCAATTATTCCCTTGCACAACAAAGATAAAAAGAACAGGAATTCCAAAAAATACAGCAGAAGACGGTACCTTGCCTTCAAGGCTGCCTCAGACTGAGGGTTGTTTCTCAAGCCCCACCACCACCACCAAACCCCATTAACTGCCAAGACCAGCACCTTAGCACATTCGGCGCAAATACCCAGCCGAAGCCTGGGGGTAACTAAATGACCTTAAACTCTGGGCTTGTTCTCTAATTCTGAAGGAGACAAAAGTAATGATCACAACGAACCTTCCAAGTTCATTACCGTTCCCATGCACATGTGATATATAAAGGCTTAGTTCTTGCGGGCTACCCTGACAACTGGATAAATGTGAGAAAAGGCTACAAGTTCAGTAAACTCTTCTGAGTTTGAAGGCAGTAGGTGGTGGCCTCCAAGTGATTTCATTGACACACAGCAACTCGTACTTCCAGCCAGGAATCCCAAGAATACCTATAGATATGCACTGCTAACCGACCCTACTGGATTTCTGCTGCAAGGGCAAAGTGTCACTTAGCAGCCCTGTGTCTTGGGGACACTCAATCAAACTATGTCAAAGTTGCTTTTGCAAAATGATTTATCTAGAGTGAGTGGGAGAAGCAAGGCATGGAAACGGGAATCCTCCTTCCAAGGGAGCAGAACTGCTCATATGCAGTAAGTGTGACAAGTATCTCTATTTCACGGGCCAGGGAGCCTGGTGCTTCTCCAGCGTGGGGGAATGGGCAGTCTAGGGGCGTGGGCGACAGCACAGCGAGGGCTTACCTTGTTCGAGGCCATCTCACTGACGGAGTGCCTGGTCTGCAAGGTCTCTAGCTGGTCCAGACACCAGTCCAGCTCCTCCAGGGTCTCGCTGGCCAGTTTCTGGTAGGCCTCCTCTGCGAAGAGATAGGGAAAGGGGGACTCAGTTCTCAAGCGCTTCACGGGGCCGCCAGCGAGTTCAAAGGGGGCCATTCTGCCGTACCCCGCCATGCTCGGGTGCCCGGTGCCCGCACATGAGGGCTGCTCCTTCATATTGCCCAGCCCAGCGGCGCGACGGGAGCCGAGGCTGTGCTCACGGGGCAGCCGGCGTCGGGGAGGTGCGGTTTATCCAGCTTGGCGTTCAGGCTCAGCCTCCCAGAGGGCGTGCAGAGGGCGAGCAGCCAACTTTCACAGGGGGACCCTGGCGGACACAATGAGCACGGTGTGATTTTGTTTTGGCGCGTGGGGTCGGAGTCCTCGTCCGGGATGTCCGCGCTGGAGGATGCGCCCCGGACCTCGCCCACCCCGCAGGGCTGCGTGCGGGTTTATCCAGCTTGGCGTTCAGGCTCAGCCTCCCAGAGGGCGTGCAGAGGGCGAGCAGCCAACTTTCACAGGGGGACCCTGGCGGACACAATGAGCACGGTGTGATTTTGTTTTGGCGCGTGGGGTCGGAGTCCTCGTCCGGGATGTCCGCGCTGGAGGATGCGCCCCGGACCTCGCCCACCCCGCAGGGCTGCGTGCGCGCTC